TATGAATATGACCCATAATCTCAAAGCTTCATGAATTTTACTTTATATGTCTAAGGATGAGGTAATTTTTAGTATGGCATTTAGCCTCCTTTACACACACACACACACACACACACACACACACACACACCACATATTGTAAGCTTTTTTAGACCATCTGTACAACTACATGGCATGAAAAATATGTTTAAAAGTAAAATTTACAAGTGCAATGGAATTTTAATCAATATTTAAAAGCTTAGCTTTGATTTTTATTTATTTGGGAAATGTATTTATGATGTATGCCAACATGCCTAGGCCACAAGAAGTCTAGGCATCTCTGCACGCTTCTGTGATGTTGTATCCCAAAACATAGCATTCAAATTGTTAACTCTGGTAGTGCAGGAGGCCTTCCTAAAAGGTAGGAAGCACAGCTTTTCACTACAGCACAGAACCATCATTTCCTTCTCTGCCCTTCTCCCTGTTCTAGTTTCCTGGAAAACTCTAATACTTTTATTATAATATTACAATATGTAACATTTTTAGAATTTTTTTCAGTGGTTAGGAAATAAGGGGACAGTATATTAAAAAGTATATTTATGGTAAAGTAGCAGTGTTAATGTTAATATCAAAACAACCTTGTAAAAAGAATAAGTAAAAATTGCTTAGAAATATAGGGTGCTTACCAGGTGGTTATGGCACATGCTATTAATTCCAGCACTCGGGAGGCAGAGGCAAGTGGATCTCTCTGAGTTCAAGGCCAGCCTGGTCTACAGAGTGAGTTGTATGACAGTCAGGGCTACACACAGAAACCTCTCAAAAAACAACGAACAAACAACCCCCCCCAACCCCAAAACAAAACAGAATTTCCTAGCAGTAAAGGGTACTTTTAACTATGGCTAAGATAAAAACCATTAGTGACCATAACACCAGCTTGTCTACAGTAAGATACAGCTAAGCAAGGTGCAGCCAATGGGATCACTCTGCCACTGTCTCCCATGGAAGGTTAATCATCCTCACAGCTACTGACCTCTTGACTATTCACAACGCTATTAGAGATGATTTAACACTCTGTTTTTGTTGTTGGTTTTGTTTTGTTTGGTTTTGGTTTTTATAAGACAGGGTTTCTCCATGTAGTTTTCATGCCTGTCCTGGAACTCGCTCTGTAGACCAGGCTGGCCTCAAACTCAGAGATCCGCCTGCCTCTGCTTCCTGAGTGCTGGGATTAAAGGTGTGTGCCACCACTGCCAGCCCGATTTAAAACTCTACATCACAAGACAGAAGACCAGAATAACACCTTATTAAGTGTGACAATTATGTCACAGCTTTTGGATGATGTTTGGTATCAGTATGTTAATAACATTCTGAAAAGCTGTCACCAATACACATTATAACCCTTCATTAAAAACAAAATTTATTTTCTTTGGCCATTTAAAACTCTTTAATATCCTTCTTATACTTTGCTTCATTAAACCCCTGCTTATCTCCTGTGTCTGTCAGACCAAACACTGAGTGTCATGAAGTAGGAGACTGTTGGAAATATGAACTACAAAACTGACCTACCTGAAAATGAGACATGTCAACTTGTACTAACAAGTCTCAGTTTTTAGTACAGATTATAATATCAAAAAGTGATTTTTTTCTTGTTATTCATCAATACTGAAACATCGCTTGTTTTAATGAATAGGTGTATTAGTTTGCCCACATTTTTAAAAGAAATTTAAGATTTTCCTTATTTCTGATTATTTTTATGTGTGGATATGTGCACGAGTCCAGTGCCTGTGGGCAGAAAAGGACACCAGATCCCCTAGAGCTGGAATTACAGGTGGCTGAGAGCTGCCAGATATGAGTGCTGGGGACCAAGCTCCCGTCCTCTGCAAAGGCAGTACACGCTCTTCAACTCTCTGCCGACTCGGTTAACAGGAAAAGTAACAAAAGTATTGCTGTATTGTTGCTTTAACTATTTAACTTTAGTAAGGTATAAGAAGGTGCCATGTAATAAAAAGATACATCATGTTCCTAGGTAAGGCGATCTTAAATCCCTTCCAGATAAACACACTGTAATGAAGCTTACAGTGCAAAATTTTGTCATATTTGGGCTGACATTTTACTACTTGAAAAAAAAATGACTTTCTTAAGAAATACTAGAAAATGCATTCATGTTAAGCTTGATGAATTTTGACAAATGCACCTAAGAAAGTCCCACCACGAGTACAACACATAACATTTAGATCTCCCGACCCCAGCTGTTTCCAACTCTGGGCCGTACTGTTCCATACGTTTCTACAGTGAAGCCTGAATCCCCGCCACCTCACTAAGTAACTTCCACTGAGTTCTGCAGGGAGGCTCCTCCTCACTCTAACTCATATTCTCATGAGAAGAGCACATTCGAACATTTAGAAATACCAGGGACACTAAGGCACAAAACGAGTTCTGTGTAAGAAGTCAGCAAAAAGGTGGCCACCACAAGTCTAGGACAGACAATGCTGAAGAAAATAAAATGCCCAGTATCTGATCTTGGGTTTCATGCCTCCCAAGTGGAGAGAAAACACGTTTCTTTCTTCTGTGCTGTCTTGTACTAAAGGTGGAAAGGAATATATTACTCTGTGTAGTCAGCTCCACTATTAGAAAATTACAGGTTATTGGGCTGGAGAGGTGGCTCAGTGGTTAAGAGCACTGGCTGCTCTTCCAGAGGTCCTGAGTTTAATTCCCAGTAACCACATGGTGGCTCCCAACCATATGTAATGAGAACTGGCGCCCTCTTCTGGCCTGCAGGCAGAACACTGTATACATAATAAATCAATCTTAAAAAAAAAAAAAGAAAAGAAAAGAAAGAAAGGAAAAGAAAATTACAGGTTACATCCATGATGCCAACTATAGAGGAGAGGTCTAAAAACTGGTGCCCTCCTTGGGTACCAGAGATACACGTGATGTACAGATATCCATACTGACAACACATTCAAAGATATAAAATAAATAAATCTAAACAGTTATTAAAATATACACAAGACAAAACAAGAAGGCAATCACTGCATGCCAGCACAAAAACAGATTAGAGAAAGAACCACCAAGGATGGAGCAATTAGTGAGGGGAAAGACAGAACCAAGAAAACAGAAAGATGGCTGAACTAACTGGGACTGGTGGCACACACCTTTGATCCCAGCCTAGAGAGGCAGAAGCAGACAGATCTCTGGGAGTATGAGGCCAGCCTGGTCTACAGAGTTCAGGATAGCCAGGGCTACACAGTGAAACCATTTCTTTAAAAAAAGAGGCAGAGCTCCTTTCTTAATTACTATTGCTTAATGCTTTATTATCAAGGGCTATCGAGAGGCAGCCTCAATGCCCTCTCAGGGTTCAGAGGGAAGGCTTACCAACAGGGTAAGGCTCAAGGGATCTGAGGGTAAAAACACTCTCTCTCTCTCTCTCTCTCTCTCTCTCTCTCTCTCTCTCTCTGCCAGTTTCTTTATTACGTCCTGCAAAGTTTTTGTGTGTGTATACACACACAACTGTACTCTGGCAATTGCAAAGTTACAGAGCTAGAATTTTTTCTCAAGAACAAGCAGCAGATAGGAGTTATCCAGAGTGACACTGTCAGCATCTTTTGGGCCCCAAGGAGGCATGGCCAGAAAGACACCCAGACAGCATTAAGAGGCAGAAAAGTTGAATTAGGAGGCTTTAAATTTTAAGTAGGGAGAAGGGGCGTTCGTGCATGATACTACATTCCTAGGTTACAATCCTGAATCAATGAACGGAGATGAGGGTAGATGGAGGGAATTAATAGCTTTTAGGGTGGAGCTGGAGATTAGCACTTTCCCAAGCAGGCTGTTGGAAAATTTAGGACACTCACTCTCCATAATCAAGCAGGACCAGGCTGCCCCTTTATCTCTGAAGGTCCTAAAGGTGATCTATTTGAAGGACTCCTCCCTTCCTGACCACACGACCTGCCAAATGGGAGATAATGGCAGGGAACTGGCTTCTAATGTTTGTCTCGGGGAACGGAGCGGAGATTAGGCTGTGGGAACCAAGGTTATTGACTGTAAGACTAGATTCTCTCACCGAAGGTCCCACAGAGTGGGGAGGAAGTCACCCAGCATACGGGAGATATTGTGTCCAGTAACTTACACACTGCTGGGTCTTTTTTGAGACAGGTCCCACTCAAAGAGGAGAGAGCTTATGGTTTCACAAGAGATTCACTGTAAGAACAGCCATGCAGGATGGTTGTGGCACACGCCTTTAACCCCAGCACTCGGGAGGCAGAACCAGGCGGATCTCTGTGAGTTCGCGGCCAGCCTTGGCTACAGAGCAAGATCCAGAACAGGCACCAAAACTACACAGAGAAACCCTTTCTCAAAAATAAATAAATTAATTAATTAATTAATTAATTAATTAATTTAAAAAAAAGAACAGCCATAATACAGAAGGCAATACTCCCAGCGCCTTGTGACTGGGTCCTGTAGACTGTATCATTTTATGTATAAACATAGTAAACTTTTCAATCAAAATACATTGACAGAATTGTTTTAAACCACCATGGTCCAACTATATGGTGATGCCAAAAGATCCATGTTAGATCAAAAGACATAAAGACTAAAAGCCTTGGGATGCAGCTCAGTGAAATAACATTTGCCCAGCATGCACAAGGCTCTGGGACTGACCCCAGCGTAATGAGGAAGGGCAGGAGGGAGGAGAAAGCACCACAATTACTAATGGGCAACAAAGGACACTTCGACTCCTATGAAAATAACAAGCTGCCTGTAAGAATAAAAATCACATATAAATAGCCAGCCCTCTTATATAACGGTCTTTATAGCAAAACAAGAGGGTCTTATCTTTCCTAAGTCACTTAAGACTTTTAAGTGAAGCAGTTATAAACTTATCAGGCAACAATCATCATAAATAAAATAACATGATACTGGAAGAATCATAATTACCTTGTTTCTCACTCTAGGAAGTTTATCATGGCAATCCTGTTATCTTTCTTTTAGAGGAAAAATAAATAAATAAATCAACAACTCCTTACCTTGTAAGATGGCAAAAAGCACAAAATCCCTTGGCTCACAGTCTGGCACACAGACAACAACAGCATTCCCACTTCATCCTGGAACTCGAATGTTTCGGTATGCTGGAAGGTAGCACAGAGATTCCGACCCTGAGGGCCCGAGCCAACAGTACCAACCCAAACCTAGAAATGAATATTTTAGTATTAGAGTTACGCCTAAATAAAGCAGAAAAATTAAGATTTAGTTGGGAGTGATTTATAAAAAAAGATGACCAAACAAGAGCAGAAATTTATTTTGAAACTGGAAATCTTCTTTAATACCATTAATTAAGTAAATACAATTTGGTTGGTACCTATGGAAAATCAAATTATTATAATTCTGGGATAATATTGTAATCCTCACAGTAACTACTAAGATATAACCATCAGCAACTTCAGTTCCAGGGGATCCCACACCCTCTTTTATCCTCTGCAGGCACATGGTATACTTACACATCCAGCCAAAACACTTGCACACATAAAATTAAAAAACAAAACAAACAAAAAAAATCAGTTTATGTGATGGTTAATCTTGGTTATCCAACTGGCTGGATCTGGAATTAACTAAAACACAAGCTCCTATGTAGGAATTGCTTGCTCAGATGATTTGAAGCAGGAAGACCCATCCTAAATGTGAATGGCAATGTCTGGTGGCAGCCCAGTTAAAAAGACATGGTTCTGTCTTCTGCCTTTACTCTTGCTGAGAAGTTCATCTTTCCTGTTGCTGTGGCATTCCTTCACTGATATTACAGTCAGCTTCTCTAGGCTTCTAATGTAGGCCTAAACCAGTAGCTCTCCAGGAACTGCCAGGCCTTCAGCTCCAGACTGGGACTACCAAGACATCCAGCCTTGTGGATTAAGCAACTACCAGATTCTCAACCTCTCAGTGAGATGGCTATTGTCGGACTACCTGGACCATATCTGTAAGTCAATCTGTAACTCCTATTTTAAAATATTTATTCATTCTTAGCAATTTTGTTCCTTTAGAAAACCATGATGAATACAGATTGTAGTACCAGGAATAGTTTTAGAGAAACAGAATTTTAAGGATGAAATTCTCTAGTAGGCTTGGTGGTATCTGAAGCTGGCTACCCAACTCAATGAAACCTACAGTTACTACAGACTCTGGTGATTGCATGGAGAGCGCTAAAAGTCCATGGGTTGAACTATTTAAAGATCTTACTGAGATAAACATGTTCGATACTCCCAACTTACCTCCTGTGAGGAACAAGGAATTTAATGACTCTACACATAAAACTTTTAAAGATGATTTGTAGAAAAATAAAGAAAACAATAATGCTGGCTGATTGCTTCCAGCATCTCTGGACAAAGTGACAAAGGAGAAAACGGAGCTTGGTGATAAAATAAAATTAATTGGTTCCAGATACACACAAATAATTGAAAGGTTTCTAAGTGTGTCTGGAGGAGAATCTTCTCTCCTTCCACCAGAGCTCAAGTTGTCAAACTCCAACCCAAGTCCTCATTATAGGATTGGCAGACGTAACAAAACAAATGTCTGACCAGCCTGGAAGGGAGTTGGCAGCTACAGTGAGGGTGCTGGTTGGAAAGAGGAAAGCTCCTATAACTTGGGGCAGAGATATGTGGGAGGACCCGACCAATGCTGAGGACACAAACCCTCACATTTGGATGAGTTTATTTTGCCTGAGGAAACAGTCTCTCCACCCTTGACAGAGAATGCATCCCCACTCCGACCCTCTCTGCAGACAGAATATACTTTTTCTCTCTCCACTGACATCTGTACACACATATGAAGGAAGAAGGGAAGGAGAAGCAACCATTACTAAATGTTAACAACTGAGGGATATAGAAAAAAGATATAAATTAATACTATCACCTCAACTTTCCTTAAATTTATTTTTACTATTTTTCACTTCATGTGTATTTGTGTGCAGGTGCCATGGAGGAGCTTGAGTCACAGGTACCTGCGACCCACCCAGTGTGGGTGCTGGGAACCAAACCTGGGTCCTCTGCAAGAGCAGGAAGTACTTTTAAGTGCTGAGCTATCTCTCCAGCCTTGGAGTTTATATTTTTTCTAAAGAAGTGAAGAAAATCAGTAGACAGATAAATTTGATACATGCTGCCACAGATGAAGGCTGAGGCCATCAGCTAGAGTACTCACAAATCTTCAAGCTGTTATGCTAAGTACAAATAAAAAAGAGCCAATCACAGAAAGACAAGTTCCACTTACAAGAATTATCCAGATAGAGCAGTAGACTTCACAGAAACAGAAAGGAGAATGTTAGCGGCTGGTGGGGAAGGAGAAATGAAAACGTTCTTGAGACTGACTGTGCCAACAAGTGGATAGATGTAATGTTAAGCTGTGCACTTGAAAATGGTAAAATGGTCATTTTTATTCCACATGGATATTTTAAATCATAATTGAGATTTAAGAGTAATTTTTAAGCTGACAGACAATATTTAAATATTATTCAGCTATACATATGCATTATTATTATGATTCAATGATAGTCCAGGTTAAATGGACTTTGTACATTAGGGTGAAAACATAATTAATTAGAGTATAGACTAGCAATCTTATGAAAAAAAAAGATACTGAATTTGCTAACCTACATTCACTTCTGCTTCTAAACAGGGCAGCATGAAATGTGGAACCTGTACCCTCACCTCACTACTGCTGATAACAATGCTTCTCAACAGGCACATTCTGGGATTTTGGAAAGCAAATTCTTAGATACAGAGACACGTAGAATTATGGGTCCCAATGTCAGTAGTTGTTTCCAGGCAACTAAAAATGTCCCGACAAGCAAACCTGTACACAGTTTTACAAAGAACTACAACTGTGTTAGGTACATACATACACACACAGTTAGGGACAGAGCTAACTACTTTAAATTACTTCACAAAGAGAAACAGAGCCAGGAGTGCTGGCTCTTACCTACAAGTACAGCGTTGAGAGGTGATGGCAGGAGATCAGGAGTTCAAAGTTATCCTTGACTACATAGTAAGTTTGATGTTAACGTGGACCACAAAAGACACTGTCTAAACAAAACCGGACAAAAAGGGGATGGAGAGATGGTCCACTGATTAAGAACGTGTACTGCTCTTACAGAAGACCTTGGTTCTCTTAACCCACATCACCTGGCTCACAAACGCTTACACCTCCAGTTCTAGGGATGCCTCTTGTGGCCCAGGCAGGCATCTGCATGAACTCGGCACACATAAACTCATAAAGGTACACCAAAACACAAATTTTGAAAAATGAATAAATCAAATAGGAATATACTCCAGACTAATGGAAAAACGAAATAAATAATTACAAATAGGAACTATAGTAGAAAATTGAACATTTTCTTGTTTTTAGATTTCATAGAGAAACCAGAACTTACTCAAATGAGGAAATTTTGTAGTCACTGAGCCCAAAGCATCAGAGCCGCCGGGGCAACATCAGTGTTTCCTTCTGTCAAGCAGCTGACAAGACTGTCTTTGTTCTAAAACTAAAGTGTGAATTTCCTATCAGAGTTTGCTTCTTAGAATTTACGGTGTCCTTTATTTACACGGCATTACCCTCTGGTAAAGAGACAGAGAGCTTCAACAAATCAAGCAGAGCAGCTCACCTGTGAGTTACTGATGACATGGTTAGCCTCTAGTTGGATGTTAAATGTAACACCGAGCTCGGATGAAAAGGATCTCATAGGTGACAGCGTTCCTGATGTTAGAACAATGGTTCGTACTTTGTTGTTAATATCTGAAAAGGCCTACAGGGAAACACGGAGCAAATGAGATCATCTTTTTAAAAAGCCAAACACAGTCATTTAATTGTTGGTTCTGGTCAAGGCAAGTTTGCACTTAGGATAGAGTGAGCTTACCACAGCTGGATTTAAGCACCAAAAGTTTAGCACATTAACTCCAATCTTCTGTCGTGAATGTTTCTTATTTTTTGGTAGAGCCAAGACCCCATTTTTATCAAAAACAGCAATCTGATTTGTCCAGGAGTAAGTTTGTTGAATAGCAATTTTATAATCATCTGCAAATCTAAATGCAAAGACAATGCCAATTGAATGAACAAACATAAAACAATCAAGCTACATAACATCAAACCTGATCATCGTAAAACTCTACAGCCTGCCATGCCTCTCCACACAAAGAAACCGCAGTCCTCCTCATTACATAAACTCAGTAATTCTGACATAAATTAAGTCATGAAATCACAGAATTCAACAAATTCTTACAAGAAATAATAAAATTATCTAACTAGCTAACCTCATTAGCCACTTTCCAATTTCATTTTAAACATGACATAAACCATGGCAGAACCAGAACTCAACTTCATGCCTTCTAACTTCCGACTCCAGCTCTTTGAACCCTCTACTACTTAAATGTTATTGTTACTAAGTAGAAAAAGGGAATTAGGGTTCAAGAATGTCAAGGACAAGTTATGCTTTCTTATTGTGTGAGAAAATAGGTAATTTTAAGGAAAGTTTAAAAAATATTAGCAAGTAAAATGATAAAACTGAAAACTTTTCCATTTGATTTGTGTGTAGGGGGGAACATGCCTGTTCTAGGTGTGTGCATGCCAGGACACTCATGCAGACGTCAGAGGACACCTTGCAAGAGCCAGTCAGTTCTACTGTGGGTTTCAGAGATCAAACTTGGGTCATCAGTCTTGACAGCAAGCACCTTTACCTGCTAAACCACCTTACTGACCTGAGTTATCAAATTTTCAAGTTAAAATCTGGGTCATGATCTTGAGTTTCTTTTCCTGAGGTTACTGAGTCAGAGTACATATGATCCCATCCCAATCTGTATCACGAAGGCTCTATCCAGTGCCTAGGTGTACTCAGGATAAAATGTTATTCTCAACTATGTTCTCAGGGTATTTCACCCCTGATTTCACCTCTGGAGAGATAAGATCTCGAAATCCAAGTCAGGACTCAGTAATTGTGAGGAGAATTTTATAAAAATGCTCAAATTTCATAACTATAAATCTCTGAGGTACTTCTAAAAAGAGAGATAAGTAAATCAGACTTCATAACTAGAAAAATCTAAAATTCCACTCAACTGGGTGGTTCACATGTATAATCCTGGCACTCATGAGGAAAAGGCAGGACAAGGTAAGGCAGGTGTTAGGAAAGCCTTGGCTCCACAGTGAGACCCAAAAACCTACAAAACCTAACCAGAGCAAAATAAAAATTTACTTACATTAAAAAAAAAAAGACACAATCAAAATGTAAAAAGACAACTTACAACATTAGTATATCTGACAGAGGATTAATATCCCAATTGCACGAATAACTACAAATCAACAATTAAAAGAAACAACTCAACTAAAAATGAACACTAGACATTCAGTACATTATTTCTACAAAGAAGATATAGAATTGGCCAACAGGTACACAGAGTCATAGGATCATTAGTCACTAGGAAATACACATCAAAACCACGAGGAAGAATCACTTGATATCCATTAGGATGATTATTACTTTTTTTAAAGATGACCAGAGCAGAAAGAATGCACGAGCAAGGATATTGAGAAGTCAGAACCTTAGACAATGCTAAATGGAAGGTCAGATGCTACAGCTGCTGCGCAAAAACACTAAGATATTCCTCCCAAAGTTAAACAGGACTGTCACAGGATCGTCAGTTCCACCACCAGGTAAAATACATCCATCCACAGGAATGCAATGAAAGCAGACTCAAACAGCTATCTGTACACATGTATTCACAGCAGCATGATAAATGGTAGCAAGGGCAGAAACACCCAAATGCCTAACAAAAAAAAGATTAACTAAAAAATGTGGCATATGGATAAGCAGACGGAGGTGGACGGGCCCGGCGGTGGCGGCAGCGGACGACAGAGACATTCAGGCCCGGCAGCGGCCCACAGAAGTAGACAGGCCACACGGCGGAGCCAGGCGGACGCAGGTCAGTGACCTGCGGAGGTGGACGGGCCAGGTGGCAGCGACCGACAGGGACAAACAGGCCCAGCGGCAACCGGCAGAGACATACAGGCCCGGTGGCAGTTCGCAGAGGTGGATGGGCCCGGCAGCAGTGACAAGCAGAGGTAGGTAGGCCC